GTTTTATTATGTGTGTGATTAGTTTCATCTGCCCAAGTGAACGCGCTATGTTGTAACATCGGCTTAATGGTTATCGGGTACCAAGACCTCAAGGCTGCTGTGTGAAATAGCCGCAATGACCCTGAGACCGGATAGTCGGCTGTCAAGGCTGAGGTGGATGCAGGATACCTTAAGCTCCGCTGCCAGGAAAATCAGAATTAAAATGCAAGGAAAACAGTGAGATTGTCTTTCCCGAGAGACATGGAAGAGAAGGGCAAAACCAACTCCACCCATGTACACATGCCAATCTAGATTTGCATGACACTTCCCAGGGGAACATTTTATTCCTCAGAAGTTGCAGGAGACTTAATGGAGATCTCAGTTATGTTCTATTTATGTGTCAACTTTGCCTTCATGGTTTCTCCAGAAGTTCCTTAGGACAATTCAAAGTGCATTTGAGACAATTATTGTCATGCTGTGTGGGTAAAGAACTGTAAAATGAATGGATTGGTCTAGTGAGATTTTGATGAGAAATGTTTGAGATCATATTGAGAACGTTGAGTTTAATTGCAGGCTTTGAGATCTTGGCAAACCTGAGGAAATTTTGAGACGTTGTTGTCCTTCTGAAACTCTTGAACATATATGGGTTACGTAAAAACTGGTAACCTGAAAATATCAGCTATTTCTAATGTATTAAAAATTGTTTTGTTACTGTAAGTGTTTTCAGGTTGATTCAGTAATGTGAAATAATATTTTTGACAAGACCAGTTCATTTAGATGTTACCATGCGTTTCAGTGTATTTTTCAGGACAAACATCTAAGGCAAGTTAGATAAAGGTTTTATTGGCATCGATTGTTCCATGAAGAACCTTTAACATCCATGGAAACATTGCGCAAAAGTTCTTTATAGTGGAAAAAGGTTCTCCAGATTATTAAAATGTTCTTCATACTGAGAAAAAAATGTTCTATTTAAGCACAGTTCATTTAAAGGTTGTTTGGAGATCCCAAAATGATTCTTCTTTTGCATCGCTATGAAAACCCCCCGAGTGTAGTTCAGCCAAAAAATGTAAATTCTGTCATTATTTATTTACCTCATGTCGTTACAAACCTGCGTTTCTTTCTTCTGTGAAACACAAAAGAAGATATTTTGAAGAACATCTGGGTCCAAACAACATTTGATCCCTTTGACTTTCAGTGTATGGACAAAACACAGACTTTTTCACAATAACTTCCTTTTGGTTTTGAATGACGTGATGGTCACTTACAAGGGATATTACAAACAAAAATTAAAATAGTGTTTAAAATCATGCCATTTTAAACCTGTATGACTTCCTTCTGTGGAACATAAAAGAAGGCATTTTGAAAAATATTGGTAACCAAACAGTTTTGGTTCCCATTAGTTTCCATTGTTTTTTTGTCCATTCAATGGAAACAAATGGGAACCGAAACTGTTTCTTCTAACTGTCTTCTTTTGTGTTCCACAGAAGAAAGAAGGTCATACAAGTTTGGAATGACATGAGGGTGAGTAAATTATGACTATTTTTGGGTGGACTATCATTTTAAGCAATTGTCTCCATTTTAACCACTTGTTGAATAGGAGAAACATGAGATATTTTCTATAGGTGTGAAATTGCCAGCATTAATTTCCCATAAATGCTGCTCAGCGGCTTTGATGCCTTCCACACCAGCTCATATTCAGCTGTCCCTCCTCTCTATATATCTTTACTGACAGTATACAGTATTTTAGACTAAAGGCTATCAGTGTACATAGATGGATAAGACAGCATGCTTCATTGCGTGATATAGTATTGACAGGTCAGCCACCGCAGTCCTGCCGGATCCCTCTGCACCCTGGGGAACTCCGCTGTCTGTTTTGGACCCCCTCCCCCTCAGCCGACAATCCCAACCCCCTTCATGTGCTCTGGGGGTAGAGGAGTGGCATGCAGTAGTACTTTCTGATGAGCAGACACTCCTACCAGCAATGTGCATAACAATGACACAGAGAGCACATCTCAATAATTGATAAAAGACAGAAAATTAACCGAGACACTATATTTTATCTGACCAATCATGAAAAATAATGGAATTTGAAGCTCGCAGCTCAGGGGGATGCATTCTGACTGCACGTGAAATGCTTTGCAGCTATGACGAATAAATTGGAAATTACTTTCTGATGTAATCACATTTCTTTCTTAAGGCTTGTTATGTGGTAAATCTTGATAATCACTGAATATAGCACCATTTTTGAATGCTCTTGTAAAGAAGGCTCTTCAGAAATGTATTTTCTGTCATGCATGCGGTTTTGATATCAGCTCATTAGGATACTGGAATTTAATGAGCTTCCACTGAGATAGACTGCCTGTAGGCCCTTCTTAACATTTTCTACTCTTCCAGCCCTCGACCAATCCTCTTCCATGACCCTTTATAGCAGGATAAATGCAACGCTTGGTTGGGCAAAGGAGGCTACACTTATAGTCTGGCACACACTGCTCCCTCTCTCTCTCTCTCTCTCTCTCTCTCTCTCTCTCTCTCTCTCTCTCTCTTTCAATCCCTTTCTTTCTTTAGCACTTAGCTGCCTGGCACTCAATATGTGGAACCCCTATTTTGGGTGTTCTGTGAATGAGTTTCCATACATGGAAAAGCTCTGCAACAATCACAGTTTAAGATCTCTTTGAGAGGTTTCCATGCTGTCAACTGTCTTTTGCTGCCAACCAGAGCACTCTTGAAATGGTTAAGGTCATTGTCATTATCATGAGCTGTGTCCAGAATTCCTGTGCACTGAATTTGATTAAGAACTTACTTCTCATAGTATAGTATAAATATATTCCCAGGAATACTGGATCTGCCATGTTGGTATTGTTCTTTGGACTTTTGGTTATTTGACCTGTGACGTATGAAAGTAATTTACTCAGGTTTTGTGAAAAAAGTGCAATTCAACCGAGAGGAACAACTTTCTTGGTCCCTATAACTTGAAAAGATCCACTTGCAATCTTAAACTTAAAGGTTCCAAAAGGTTTTTTTTTTCATAGCGATGCCATAGAATAACCCATTCAGATTTTCAAAAGAACCTTTCAGTGGACAGTTCTTAAAAGAAATTGTTGTTTTCTTGGTGTAAAAAAACATTTTAATGATCTAAAAAAAAAAACACTATAAAGAACCTTTTGTCCGATGGAAAGGTTCTGAATGTTAAAGGTTCTTCATGGAACAGATTCCAATGAAGAACTTTTCTTTTTTTTCTGCATTTTTTTCACAGCTTTTCAAATGTGGCATTTCATGAGTGCCTGACTGTGGTCTTATGGGTTGACAAAGTGTCTATTTAAGTTACAAACATAAGAATCTCAGTAGAAGCAGTGTCATCTGGATATTGTTTCATAAACACATATTCAGATATACAAATTTGAAATTCTGCTTTTTGAATACTAAGTAGTTTACTGCTTTTGATACAAAGTGAAGCCTATTCAGATTCAACTTTCACTGATAACACAAAAAATTCTGGTCCATCTTGCAAGAGATTGAACAGCAATATCTGAGAGAATGGTTTCATATTGAATCTATAGTGTTGAACAGCACTGAATTTGATGGATGAAATTGTGCAGCTCCTAAAGTGTTTCGGATTCTGCTGCAGTACTGAAAATGTTAATAGTCATGTTAACTACTGCATGCTGTTGATTAAATGAGATTAAATATTGAATGTAGCATTGCAGTAGAAGTTGTAGGATATGTATTTATTTTCTAATGCATGTTGTGCTGGATATATAAAGATATGAGGTGAGGGGATTTTATAGGGTTAAATTTAAACCCATATTACTAAAAATTAAACTTCAACTACCTGTCATCGATATAACAGCAGGTGTAGAGCAACCAGTCTCCGTCGTTAATATATATTCAACCATTTTCTTTTCTTCTGCAGCAGGGTGTGTTCCTCAGAAGAGAAATGCAGAGCAAGGATCAATTTCTCTTCATCAAAACACAATTTTCGTCCAAATAATGTGTGACATATTGTGTTTTTGTGTGAACATTGCAGTGTGTATGTACTAATGAATGTAATAAAACCTCAAGAACCAGATATATTTGCGCTTTCTTTTTCATGGCCATATATGGAGATTAGATTGGCTGTTGACACGCCAACCTCATTTTAACCCTTTAGCTCCTGAGTTTTATTCGCTGGTAATAATCATAAAGATAAATGTGTAATAATTGGTGTACTGTACATGTTGCGTTTTAGGGAATGGCCTACGATTTAAAATTCACAGCTCTGCGAAAGTTTGCCTCATATTATAGGCTATAAAACTGAATACATTGTAGGTGTTAATGCCTTCAGCTATTAAGCTATGCTGGTGGTAAGCGACCTTCTGGCGTTAAACTGAGGAGCCTTTAATAGAACTCCTTTACATGATAGATTTATTGTTGTATACAGGTATTGCCTCTATGTGGCTCCTGTCAGCAATGTTAAAGCTAATGTAGCCTATGCTGCTGGCGGCAAACGAGTGGTTAATTTACCTGTACGGGCTAAAGTACGCGTTAAAGGTGCCTTTAATAAAACAACTCGTTTACATGACATGTTTAGAGGTGTAAATATAGGTGATTAGTCTCTGGTTCCTGAGTATTTTTGACGTCCCGTATAGTTTTTATTTTTTTTTACAATTTTTTTGAAAATGAAAATGGACCAGAATCGCTTCAAGTATAAAATGCAGATGTATGATCACAACCTGTTTCTAATACATTATACATCGAAAAAAAAACAACTTTTTTTGGTATGAAATGCATGACATCTAAATGTGATTTTGCGACTCAATCGCGTCAGAGATAGATAGATAGATAGATAGATGTGGTATGATAACATGTTAGGTGAGATTTTAGGCCATAGCAAGCTGTATTCATGCATATTTCCAAGTTCTTAATTACCGAGAGCAAACACCGTTTATACACACACACACACACACACACACACACACACACACACACACTACAGCTTTATATTCAGCATTTGGCACGGTTCTCAACCTCCCCCTCCTCGCACTCTGACGTCACGCGCCTGCCTTGGCTTATTATTGCATGAACTATTTTCTGTAGTAGCAGCACCAGTTAGCTTTTCCAGTGCCCGCCGCTTAACGTGGAGACAAATACGAGGGAGAGAGGGAAAGAGGAGGGGTGAGGGACAAATTAATCTTGGGCCACAGCGGTGGCACAGCGCGAGACCGCAAAGCGTTGCAGCGAAGATTTTGTTTTGCTCGTTCGCTTGAAACGGGCGGCGGAGACAGAATGGATCTACCTGCCGTCGGGGAGCATGTGTTCGCGGTGGAGGGCATCGAAAAGAAGCGCCTACGGAAGGTAAAACTGCCGCAAACTAGAACGAATGGTGCGGAGGATATATTTGTTGTTTCTGTACCCAACGCATTTTCGTCATTTTTCAGGGCAGAATCGAGTATCTGGTGAAGTGGCGAGGATGGTCAGCCAAGTAAGTGTTTAATTGGTTTATATGCGTTATTTTTAGGCACATTAACAATAAATGCCGAGCAATGTTGTTCTTGGACGTCCGGAATCCTACATCGGTTGCGCTAGGCTGTTTTTTACGGATTCCATCACAAATTTTACGCGAGTGAATGTCATCGTGATGACATTTTACTGTATGTAATGAAATATGCTCACATATGTATTTGTTTGCATTATCAATAGGCTGCACATGTGTTTTGTTCGCGCGGTAATCTGTAAAAATTCTATATTTTATCGCAACCCGCGTTGAATTTACTATATGGTTTATTACATTTTCATATTCTCTCGTCAATATTACAGATATAACACATGGGAACCCGAGGAAAACATTCTTGACCCGCGCCTTCTTGTGGCTTTCCAAAACAGGTGAGATGGAGGACGAAGAACTGAACTTGTGGTAATGACCATATATGGTCACGGGAGGCGGGGCCAAGCGTTGCTGAAGATTGATGGTAGCCCCATGGGTCAGGTCTGACTGCTACAAAGACTCTCTTGATGCTTGCCTTTTATCCAGTTTTGGAAACACCCCATTGTTATTACCAGTGCTAGTTGTACAAAATGAATGTGCCATTGTATATTGACCAAATAAAGATTTAATTTTCTTCCTGTCAGTTCTAGGGCAGTGGTTCTCAAACCAGGGGGCCATAACCCTCTGGGGGCCCCATTAAAACTTTCAAAGGGGCTGGAAGGTGACTTAAAATTATTTATTTATATATATATATATATATATATATAGTGAAACTTCTGTAATCACAAAATTAATTGCAAATATTAATTTTAATATACTTGCATTCCTCATTTCAGAAGAAAAAACTTAATATTGTCTTGAGTCAAAAAAGTTTGATAGCAGCACTGAAAATAACTAAGCTTTAGAACAACTTGGATCACATAATTTCATACATTCATATATGAAAAATACATCGGTAGCAGTGTTCTCTCACAAGTGGACATACCCCCCTACACTCATGTCTATGATCTAATCAGCTGTGTCAGTGGTCTTGTGATGTTCACACACCCCTCTCTGAGCGCACTGTTCTGTTCTGAAGATAAAAGTATAAGGAGTATCAAAGCATTCCAGAAACTCAAGGAAAATAATTGTTAAGTTTAGATAGCAGTTTTTACAGCAATGCCACAGAAGAACCATTCAGGGTTAATTTCATTGAAAATTCTTAACCATTTTCTTGATATGAAGAACATTTTAATAAACTAAAGAACCTTTTGCACTATAAAGAACCTTTTGTACAATGGAAAGCTTCAATGGATGTTAAGGGTTCTTAATGGAACCGTAGATGCTAATTAAGAACCTTTCATTTTAAGAGTGAACGAGGATATTGGTTCTATTACACATGAATGGTTTAATGAATGGTCCATTAAGCATTTTAACACTGCAGCTTTAGTTGTTCTCAAACCCAACAGTATTGAGAATATCCAATGTGTTGTGTTGAAAATAGTGAATTTATGTATATATTTTATGCATCGTTTTCAGAGAAAGGCAGGAGCAAATGGTGGGATATCGCAAAAGAGGGCCTAAACCCAAACACCCCCTTGTCCAGGTATTTTGTTATTCCAATTGCAGTTATTATCTTCCATTCAGTACATAAATTGGCAATATTTTTTGCAAAAGTATTGCTTGTTATGACCTAGGTTATTCCTGTGCATGGTCTGAATAAAACTTCCATTTCATTATAAATCAATAATTGTATGCCAATGGCTCCTTACTGTCTGCGTGCATCTTAATGTACTTGATGATGACCGTTATGGACTGCTGTAGTTGATTTCAATGTTTTACCTATAAAAAATTAATAAGAATGGCATCTCTAAGCTCAAAACATAGTAAGACCCATACTAAAGCCCATTATTATCTCTAGAGTAAAGCTAAATGTGCTGTAAAATAATCAACAAATGATGAACTTTCAGTTCTTTTGAGAAGTCAATACATATTCTCTCTTTGTTCCAGCTTCCTGCGTTTGCTCGTAGATCAAGCATCCTGGGTGGTCTTGAGGACACATCACTGGATGAGGAGAACCAGCCCAAAGTGGATCCCCTTCAGCTCCACTGCCCACGGCCGCAGCACTACCAGCTGAACAGCAAAAAACACCACCAGTACCAGCCCAGCTGCAGGGAGATCTCCGTAGAACAACATGTGAGAGGGAAAAAGAAGCACTTCTACCAGCTGAACAGCAAGAAACATCATCACTACCAGCCAGACCCCAAGATGTACGACACGCCACTCACGGGACCTAAAGAGGTCAAGGTTCAAGACCCTTCCAGCAAAGTTTGGAACCTCCCTCCAGCCTTGCAACAGAAGTGGATTCAGAACAAAGACACCGCCTGCCTGAGTAAAGTGAAAGATCTGTCTATTGAGCTCAAGGGCCTGCCGGATAATGCTAACAAATCGGAGCGGGCACTCAAGACGAGAGCCAAAGAGTTTGCACTTCCTAACGGCATCAGCAGCAAGATGAAAATAATAAAGAACAAAAACAAAAACGGACGGATTGTGATTGTAATGAGCAAATACATGGACAAAGGTGTGCATTCATCTAAAGTTAAAAACAAGGATGTTTCTGAAGTGGAAACGCAGCACAATGAGGAACCTACACTGAATAAAACGGACAATCTTTCTGATGGTGAAACTTCAGAAGGCCTTGAGAATGGCGCTGTTGAGAACACCAACACATTTTCTTCTAGTGAATGCGTTCACGAAAACTCCATCAAAAAGGTAGAACTTCCAAAAGATACGCCTACAGAGACTGAACAAACAGTGATGTATATATGCGACCAACCAAACTCCTCTCCCATGGAAACAGAGAAGGCTCCCCCATCCCACATGGACACCAAACTCAATCACTGCAAGAGGAACCTTTCAGAACCCAATGAAGACGTGAGAAACTGTAAGCAGTTCTTCAGCTCCAGGAGCATCAGTGCACCAAACACCGTGCTTTCGTCCCTTCAGAGAGAACCTATAGACCTGCATTACAGAGGCAGCCTCACCAACAGAGCCTACAGTTATGACTTTAGCGACACCATTCCTGAAGAGCCTATTGACTTGAGCTGTGGTCCAACCAAAACTCTTCAACAGTTTCCCACAGTGGAGAAGGTTTCAGGAAGCTCGGCGCAAGTGGAGAAAACAAGCAACCATTTTAAACCATTTGTGGGTAACGTTATCATCACTGATATCACTACGAACTGCTTAACCGTGACCTTTAAGGAATACGTTCAAGGATAATGACTACAATACGCTGGACTGTAACTTGTTCATTTGAACCAGCTCAAAGTTGATTCATTAAAAAGTAACTAAGCAACGTAATTAGCTACTTTTTTATGAAGTAACGCAATATTGTAATGCATTACTTTTAAAAGTAACTTTCCCCAACACTGGCACTAATCATAGCCATTCCTGATAACATATGGAGACGTTTAAGCAAACAAAACCTATATATATATATATATATAGGGTTTGTTTGTTTATATGTCTGCTGTATGTTTTCTAATGCATAAAACTGAGATGGTTGGCATTTTGCTGCTGTGGAAATTAAATTTAAAACCCCATAAGTGTATAGTGTGTAATATAGTTTATAAAGCTTTTGAATTTTAATGCTACCTGAGGAAATATAGCGGCCTATTGGAGAAAGCACACTGGTGGAATGACATTGTATATGAATGCACCTTTAAAAAGTATTTTTTCAGATTGTTTTGTTGATATATTTTACTTGACTGGATTTCCAGATGTTGTTGGCCTGGGAGGTCTTCCTGTGCAATGCTAGATAAACAACTGGATTGTTTGGTGTTCCCTCTCTGTAAGAAGTTTAAGTTGCACTTTATCATCTCCTGGATCTCTTTCGTTAATAAATTCAGTTTAAAAACTCAATAAAGGCTGTTTAACCTTGCAGAATAATTTGTAATAATAATCTGTAACAGCAGTATGACTGGTCAGATATCATCAGAACATGCAAACTGTTATATGCCCAGAAAGTACATGTAAGATTGATGCTATAGATTTTGTATGTATTTGAATCAATTTACAGTCAATGCAATGTACTGTAGGTACGCAATGAGATGTACAGTATGTAATGTACAAATTACACAATAATGCCATTAAGGTTAAGGCCATTTATATGCATTATGGCATGTAAACTTTGAATTGTCCGTTTGAAAATGCTTCTTAAATCAATATTAAACTCTGTTCAAATATAAACATGAATGATTTGTTTTATAATGTGTCATTCATATTTTTTATTTCAGTTTGTCTGATTAACCGCATCCAGAGAAAATATATTTGTCCAATTTAAATGTTTGCTTACAAATGAGAAGCTCTTATAAATTAGAGCAATTTAGCAATGCTGCCTCCTAGGTGCAGTACCATGTTCATAAAGCACCATGTCGGTCTTATATTGACCAGAAAACAACCCCACATCATCCTGCTGCCCTGATTAGGCTCCTATGTATAAAAAATGAATGGAAAGTTAGTTTTTTACTATACATAGAGTAGTTGTGTTAATGCTAAGTGATCTAAAATACATGTAGGTCATCTTTCTGGGTGAGTCAGCTAAATCCATACAGCATATATGTCAAGAAGATCTTAAAACACATTTTCTTATTATTTAAATATGATATTAGCAGGAAAAGTGCTAACCATTGATTCATATATTATGATGAGCTGTCCCAGTGTGAGATGTAGAGGTTGGTATTATCATTTTGCCCCAAAATTCTGTATTATATAATATTTAAGATATAATAATGCGTTTAGATAAACGAGAGAGGAGGTTCATAAACGTTCTGCTTTACTATATATTATTATATTATATTATATTATATTACATATTAGTAGGCTATTTGTGACCTGTTTCCATATATAAACATGAAATGTAAAAATAAAATCTGCTCAAGGTAACTATTCGAAATAGTTAAATTAAATGAATAAAGAAATGACAATCATATTCCTCCTAACTTCTCTCGCTTTCTCTTTCTTCTTTTTTTTTTTAACTTGAATTTAATTTATCAGAAGATAAACTATTTTTAAATATATTGTACGCTAACTGGATTAAAAAACAGTTCGGGACTAAGGCTAATATATAAACATCCAGTTGTTTTGCCTCCGGTTCGACTGTTTTATTGATGAATCTGAATATCTGTATGACTGATTTAAAATAACGATGGATTATTTGAATAGCACAGACAGTAAAAAAAAAAAGCTATTAATTTAGCCTACTATTCAATTTCAGTGGACACATTGTCGCTCTTTTTGCCTGAATTTCAGAGATTTCTTGTCACTCTTGTCATTATAGCTAACGAGCTTGAGAATTAGGAATCTTAATAATAATAATAATATTAATAATAATAACAAGTAACGAGGATTTTTTCTCTCGATTAATTTAAATTCATCGAATCGAAACAAATAACAGAACATGGCGGTAAATGAAAACGAGATAATTTCCTAAGTTTGTTATTATCCGTTGCATCGAATGAATCGGACAAAAATCGAATTAATCTTTCAAATCAAATCAAAGATTAGTTGCTGTATATCAGATCGCAGATCATTTCCATTTCAAAGCTGAGGACAATTTCGAATTAAAATTCCACATGACAGTAAAATATAGTTTCATATACATTTTTATACAGAAAAAAAACATAGGCTATTGACAGATACATTTTTTTTTAAATATGACTTGACAGTCAAACGACTGACTTCATTAAAAAGAAAAAACTAGGCTATACACAAGAAAATGCTTTTTTGTCCGAAGCAGGGTTTTGTTTTAAAATAGGCTAATTCTCATTATTTATAATAATTTTTTGAGAAAGAAAAAAAGAAATTTCGGATATAGCCTACTGATTTTTAAATAGCCTATTATATAAATTATTAATTAAAATAAATTATTAATCTTAAAATCGTTTAAGAATGCTAAGAGCCTTTTGGTTTATGATTTGCACAATATTGCAAAATTACATTCCGGTAGGCTAATCCGAATATATGGACACTTATCCTAACTAGATTTTTCTTGCCTAAATAGGGAGATTCGGAGCGGGCGGGTAAAATATCGATACGAAATAATATAGCCTAGGCTATCGATATAACTGTGGATTTATGATTTATAAAGTCGATTTATAAAAGTAAGACCAGCCCAACAATCGTTATGTATTTACGTATTTTGTTCAGTTTTTATTTCGTTATTTGTATTGAATTTAAACGTTTTTTCTGTAATTTGGGACGGCATGTCGTGGAGGGGAGGCACAGATTTGCTGCGTTTCGAGCAGGTTTCCACCGCGTTTAAAGTAAAGACTGCGCTTGGACGTCTGGATTTCAGTCCTATTAAATACAAATAAATAAATATATTTATAAAACGCTGTTTATCATAATATAGCCTATAGGCTAGGCCTAACCTACTCGCAACACCTATAAAGAATGCCGTATTTGCACGCACGGGAAATTGCCGTTAAATTTTCGGCACTTATAAAAAAAGCCCTGACTGCAGTTACTCTAGACTAGTATATGAAATAAACACTACATATGTGTATCCAAAACAGCACTCATAAATGTCACTTCTACGTGCCCGCGCGTCTAGGTCAGCTGCGTTTGCCTCCTCCTCCCCGAGCGGCAGCTCCACTCATATAGTACTATGGGAAGCCATATTACTCAAAAGTGGGATGAAACAGCGCGGTATTGCAGTGTCCGCGCTGATCAGTTACAACAGCGCAGCGTGAACATTACTCTCCGCAGAAGTTTGTGTTTTTTTTCCTGCACATAACATAATGAAGAGTTATTACATTTCTTTTGCTTATTATCTTTCATATTAC